TATTTATATATGCCAAAATATAATTCGATTAGTACGTACCTATATCTATCGCCGAGATCTAAAACGTTAATCGGACAAACGTTACGAACAAACAAATTATTCAAATTATACATTAATCTTAAGATAAAAATAAAAAATATAAAATCAATCAAATATATAATAAGCCAAAAATAAGAATCGGTAATACCTAAATTTTAATCCATTCTATAAAATATTTTTTTAATATATAAAAATATTCCCCCTACCTATTAAAAAAATACCTATATATTATAATAATCCATAAATCAATTTTATTATTTAATCGAATTATAATTATCGTACATATATTTTAATATACGCATTTTTACAAAATAAATCATTTTAAATCGTCAATTTATTCAATACAAATAATATATTGGTTTATATTTAAAAGGATCGGATTAAACTTACTAAATCAATATATATATAATAAATCCATGTAAATTCCTCGAATTAAGAAATCACCAGCGATGTTAAACCTCCTGTTGGACCAATACTTTGTAAAGTGACTCACATTTTGAATCCACTGAGCTGCGTGTCCTTGCCCGTTGGGCAGAGTTTCACCGCGACAAAAATCGCAAAAAATGTGTCTTGTCAGATTGCTCAATGAGGCTTTGATGGGTCGTGGAAGTGGAATTTCTCAACTCCCATAATGGGCATCAACGTGTCGAAAATCAAGAACTGGCCCGCTGTCAGGGTGCCGATCATGATGCACCTTGGTCCAAGACCTGTGGTGCAAAGCTTCGCGAAACCAGTCTCTTTGGCGATGTTCCACAAGCGAGAAACCATGCCACCGTCACCGCCTGCCCCCTTCTTGTTGATCTTGGAAAGGAGAGAATCGGCAGGATGTGAAATGATCGCAGCTGCCACCCCCGCAATGAAGCCGGAAGTAACAGACACGCCCATCTTGGAAGCATGGCTCAAGTTCTCTCTCTTGGTCGGCAAGCTGGCGTAAATGGCAATCTCGGTGTTACCTTGGACTGCAAACTTGGCCATGGTGTAAGGGATCTGCTTGAAGAGAATGGGCACAAGACCTGCATACCAACCCATGATTCCCTCCCTGGCCATCAACTCCTTCATTGCAGTGAACGTGCCCTTGGGGAATGTGGGGTCAGACACTTGACGAATGCGAGCAGCTTCCAAAGGGCACAGGAAGATATCTGCAATGAACTCAGCACAGGCAGATGCTCCAAGCATGATGAAAGCCTTTCTGTCCCACGCCTTTTGGTCACCCAAAGACTGGCAAAACTGGATCTTGAAAAACTCGTTGCCTCCAAACTTGAACCATCCCTGCACGAAGTAACCAGCCGCTGTTGGTCCCAGACCTGTAGCGAGCACTGAGGCACCTTCTTCAGCGACGACTTGCCTTCCGACACTCAACAATCCACCCTGGTACTTGATGGGGTCAAGTTGGATACGAGTCTTCACCACGTCCACAGGGCACAAAGCACCGTGGGTGATGGAGCAGCAAATCCCTCCGCACAACGCTCCATTCAGGTAGTACTTGGGGTCGTACTTTGCCCAGTTGTAGATCGACATCTTGCTGCTGAGGTGTGGAAGCAAAGGCTGTATAGTCAACTACCCTACAGCTTGCTTGAAGGAGCGGCATATTCATTGCAGGCTGCAATCCTCCAACACAAACCTAATGCCTACAACAATCCAGCTTTTTGTCTTGCGCAAATCAATGGTGGAGCCAAACTGTTCGTAAGCCTTTTTGGCCGCAATGGCGTTTCACAGGTCATTTGCTTCGTCTCCACTCACTCTGGTGCGTGGGTGAAAGGATGCAATGTTGCGTCTGCTGTAAGTCTTGCTGTTAGTTCCTTTTAACAAACAGTTGATCTTCTATATAAAGTCCTTACTGCCCGTGAAGCATGTCGACACAATCACGCTGCAAGAAACTTCATCGGAGGATGCGCATGGCAGGATAACCAGGCGTCAAAGATGGCGTTTGGTACCTGAGAAGTTGTTAGGCACTTTGCATGCGCGGGGTTCTCCAATTCGTTCAACTGAAATTGCGAACTTGGGTCATGGGATTATCCCAGAACTAGAAACAACTTTCCTAAAGTTGGGCGCCTTCTTGCTGTACAACTACAGGACAATATCTATCTCTGTTTGTGGCAAATCAAGCAAGATCAAGCATGCAACGTCCCCTTTATTCTGATCGATAATCCAATGCTGTCCAGTTGCTGCCCAGAGCTGTATTGTGCTGGCATAGGTGTGGCCTTGCATATGTTCAACTCAACATGGTCATCGAGAGAAATGCACTTGCCGCTAAATGTGTTCATTGTCAGTGCCCATTTTGAGCTGGACCTACAGCTACTTTAGTGAAACGACAGTGAGTGACGTCTGTCACTCACAAAGAAGATATGTATATAAAGAGAAACAAAGGCCAGTTCTGTGTAGTGAAGCGAGCTGGCCACTGAGGTCTGTGCGTAGTTGCCGATACCGAGATCGGCCTGCCAAAGTTTTCTGAGTGCACGGGCAACACCGAACAAAATGCAAATGGAAGGAGTCTTTGCGCTTTCTGGAGATGTTGGTAACTCTTCCTCAAGTCTGCATGCTTGCAAAAAACTTAGATGCTCGAATTGTTTGCAGTAAACATAGTAAGGTAAAGGTAACTTGAAGACAAAGGCTGCCTGGGGCTGAGGTGTCATAATCGGCTGGGGCGTGATGATTGATCCGGAGACCTGGGTGTTTCATCGTTTGGTTGTCACATGTGTTCCACTTTACAAATGACACTCTCCAGTCCAGGACCTTTATCGCTGAGAGCGCCACAAGGCCCTGTGAAGATCGTGGAGGCACATCATCCTTGGAAAAGGATATCAGAATCACTTGCCTTTGCGTGCGCGAGTCTATGAACATTGCGATGGACCTGAAGGTGCTGTGCTCTATATGTGTACAAATCAAGTTTGAATCCGCCGACCCCTGCCTAGCTGATGCCCAGGCGGGCGGCACCGGGGAGGGGACGTGCAATCCGGGAGGATTTTGAACGGGACACTCAGAAACACTCAAGGACAGTCAAGCCACCAAGTTCGAGGCAGCCACTCAAAGACACTCAACGATGTCCGTGACTGTCCTTGAGTCTCTGGTCTATATTTTGGATAACCTTGAGTGTCCTTGAGCATCCTTGAGTGTCTGGTCTTTTTGGATAACTTTGAATGTCCTTGGGTGTCTGGTTTTTTTGAATGACGTTGAGTGTCCTGAAGTGTCCTTGAGTGTCTGGTCTATTTGTTGGATGATCTTGAGCGTCCATGGGCGTCGTCTAGTTTTTCTTTTAGATGACCCTGAGTGTCCTTGAGTGTTTGCTTGTGTCCTGGCTCAGACTTGTTTAAGTGTCTTCAAGTCTCCGTGTGTTCTGAGTCACTATTTTTGAAATTTCCCTGGATGTCCTTTAGTGTCTATAGTCTACAGTTTTTTGTTTCTGGCGTCCCTGTTTCTGGCGTCCCTAGCTGTGAGGGCAGTGCACGGAAAGGGCTTAGTAGAAGCCTATTCCACTAACTTTGTGGAAGGTCCGGTCATTCGTGGAACCCTTGCCTATTCACATAGCATTCGTGGAATTCTGGATCCTTAGGAGTACAAACTCCAACAAAAACTTGGAAGCCTTCGCAGGACTTAGTGGCAAGCTTTTTTTTGATAATGCACTGGCTTTATAAGGATTCTTTGCGCTCTCCGTATTTCCGCACGCACAAACCCTCCATTGTGGGGAGGGCAATGGTATCCCTTTTGAGATTTGCGAAGCATTGATCGAGACCATCGCTGCTGGATATGTCGTGCCTCATGCACGGGTCCGGATATAAGGTAGAGAAAGTCCATAGAAACTTAAGGACACGCTCCATTGAAGACAAGTGAATGAAACCTGAAAGTTTTGGCGCAACACCCTAACTCTTGAAGCGTCAGCAGTGCGATCGTAGCTGTAACCTGGATACATGCTTGGCTGCAGAGATAGCAAGAAAATGCATCAAGTCGAAATAAGAGATGCCTTGGGCCCCACGCAACCTTGAAAATGGCCCTGTATAAGGTTGTGGTTCTTTTCGTGGTGTTCTGCAAGTGTTCCTTCTGGGGCCGTTTTCGATCCAACACCAGACCTCACTGTAAGGATTATTTACAGACGCTGGGTACCCAAACAGCAAACAACAAATACAATACGCATCCACTTGCCTGGATATGGATGCGCTGTTGCTGTCGGAGGAATCGCGCGCAACAGTGAGGTAACAGGAGTTACACGTGGGACGTCTACCTCGAAGCGTGGAGAAACCAACCTTGATTCATCCCATTTTCTGTCTTGTTGGTCACACATTGCAAAAGGTGTGCTCTGACCCACTCCTTACACTCTACCTGAGGATATTTGGCTCGCGCAAACTGCCATCGGGAAGGTTGTAGCAAGGGCTCGCCTTGTGGCGGCGCATGGCTTGGATGAGCAGACTATCCGAAGCATGGGAGAAGCAACGCAAGAGCAACATAGAAGACAGACTAAGCTATACAACTCCTCACTTATGGGAGCTCCGCAACTTAGAACGGCTTTCCGAGCCTTGGGAGATACCTGCTCAAGCCCGCACAGGCTGTGCGCAATGGATTCCAGCCCGACGCTACAGATGTTCCAGGAACCTATCAAACGCAAACGCCCCAACTTCCAACAGCGCCAACGCCTGGCCCAAGCGATTCCCCCGAGAGCCGCGGGCAGATGGCAGAAAGCCGAATATCCCAAAAGAATTGTTGCTGTCGCAAAGAAGACCCAAAAAGAGCAAGAAGGTGAAGCGCCCCAACCGTAACGCCCCAGCTACCTTTGCCAATGTCGACTCTGTAGATCGAGGAAGGCAATGCGTCGACGCCGCCAAAAAGGCTGACTGAGCAGGTGTGCAACTTACCAAGGAAATCTTTGCTACATCATCTCCATCTTCAAGCGTAGAAATGTAGCCATGGCAGATGTTCTTCCTCTGCAGCGGGCGCAGAACGACTTTACCGTGACAGCGACCCGAGCAGACGCGCAAACCTGTTGCCAGAAGGACTTGCGTGATATTGGAAAGACATGTGTCCAGCTCCAAAAACGCAATCTCAGAAAAGGTCGACTTTTTTCCGGGTCATCCCTCCTCACTTAGATGGGCATGCTGCTGACGAGCAGAGTTTGCCAAGTCTACTTGGGCCCCCTGCAGTCAAGTGACCCTTTGCCTGTTCGCAAGACATTCAGTGGAGAACCCATCAGGAGCACAAGAGCCTCCTGATTGAAGGCTGCTGGCATCAAGCGGTCGCACCTTAGCGTGTGTGTTTGCACACAGCCACTGATGCACGTTGATGTGATTCTCCGCTTTGCTCGAAGAATGTTTACTTATATGATGCTTTGCTCATAGGTATGAATCCAGCGAGTCCATTGCTCCAAGGAAGGGCGGAACCAAAGAATGATTTGCCAGTGTTTTTTTGTGATTTGAGAAAAGTATATATATATATATATCTTTTCTTGCTCATACATATCTATATTGCCCCCCCAATAGGGGCATCACGTGATACGATGCTCCGCCCACGTCGCCCACCAAGGATGGAATGTCCTTTTCGCTTGCGTCGGTACATCGTCACCAGTGCCAGCGGGCTACGTTTTTGTTGGACAACAAGCAACGTGTGTTGTGGTTTTCTGGACGCTGGCTGGCGCAAATGGTGTAGAAGTTCTCCGAACTGCCAACAGCAGCTGCCGTCAAACGCCACCTTCCTGACCTTTATGCATCTAATTCTCTCCGGCTGGCCACTTCGCAACAGCAGCTTGGCGTGCTTTCTTGCCTGCCCAAACTTCGCGCCCTGCGCGGGGTCTTGTGCCAGGCCCAGAAGTTCGCCTATCCGTACTCAGGTAGTGCAGTGAAGGGAGACGGTAATTTCAAAATAGCCTCTCGCATCAAAAGGCGCGGCCAATCAAACAACTGTGTGCACAGTTCTAGGACAGTGAAGTCAGTGCCGCCAGCTGTCAGGAGCTCGCCCTTCAACCGCTGGATGGCTGCCTATTGAAGCCGCGCTTGCGAAACCCTAAAGAAAAGAGGCGCAGGCCACGGCCTTCTAGGCTGGTGTGGCCAGTGCCTAACGTCTGCGCAGGGTTTCCGACCGGGCAAACGACACCATCTATTTCCACACCAAAAAGGGGCGAGCCGCAGCCAGCCAAAATGCCAAACATCGCCTGCTGGCACGTTGCCTGGCGCGTGCCAAGGCAATCTGTGTCCACGCCTTCCCACCATCTAATTCACTGAGACGGGATGTCCACGCAGGGCTCCAGTCCAGGGAAATGTCTGCACCAAAAAGGGGTGAGCCGCAGCCAGCCAAAATGGCCAACGTCGCCTGGCACGTTGCCTTCGGGAGCCCATAAAACAGTTGCCTGCGTGGCACGTGGCTCACTCAAGGCTGCCGGCAATCTAATCTGTGTCGACGCCTTCCCACCATCTAATTCCACACCAAAAAGGGGCAAGCCGCAGCCTGCCAAAATGCCTAACGTCGCCTGGCACGTCACCTTCAAGAGCCCATAGAGCAGTTGCCTGGCGCGTCCCTTTCCACGCCCAGTTGCCTGGCCCAGTTGCCTGGGTAACTGTTTCACCCTGCGGCGTCGCCGGCGCCATTGGGGTCGCCAGACGTGCGCTATTTGAATCAGACACTCAAGAACACTCAAGGATGTCCATGAGTGTCTTTGAGTGTCCTTGAGTGTGTGGTGTATATTTTGGATATCCTTGAGTGTCCTCGAGTGTCTGGTCTATATATTGGATAACCTTGAGTGTCCTTGAGTGTCTGGTCTTTTTTGATGACCGTGAGTGTTTTTGGGTGTCTGGTCTATTTCTTGGATGATCTTGAGTGTCCTTGAGCGTCCTTGGGCGTCGTCTAGTTTAGTTTTCATATAGGATTCGTGGAACTCTGGATCCTTAGGAGTACAAACTCCAACAAAAACCGGGAAAGCTTCGCAGGACTTAGTGGCAAGCGTCTTTTTGATGATGCACTAGCTTCATAAGGAATTTTTGCGCTCACCCTATTTCCGTGCACACACACATTGTGGGGAGGCCAATGGTATTCCTGGGCGAAAGGGGCCCAAAAACAAAAGGTGAACAACGAGGCAAACAACAAGAACGCAGTCAGAGGAACCATCGGAAGCAAACCCAGATTGTTTTGATGCATACGCGACTGGCTAGCTGACAAAAACGAAATACATAACACACCTTTGCGGCGCAATGGGGGCAACCCACCCGCGGTTTTCCTGCGCCTTGTGCTCGGCGCTCTTCGGGGACATTCTTGCGCAGCCTTGCCGAAATGGTGCTCAAATGCAATGACGTTGAGCAGGCGGCCTTAGCCACCTTTGGGTAGCAGAAACGAGTACCATGATCAGGTCTGGAGACTGCTCCACCCAAAAAGATGGCACGTGACGGTTTGACGGATGGGATAACATTTGCTAACTTTCGCCGCTTAACTCCTCCATCATCCAAGTGTTCTGCATAGAAACCCACTCATTCATGCCGTTGTCACTACGACTTCTCCGGCTGACCCATGAAAGAGACAATGAACATCTGCAAGAGGCTCGCAGGATTTTCTAGTTGGCACCTACGAGCGTGGACCTGCGCAGCATCATTTCACATCCTTAGCTGTTGCCTTGCTGGAGCAGGGTCCTGCTTTGGTTAGAAACGCTGGGAGCTGGCGGCTCCATCCAAACAATCTTCTTTCAGACCCCGAAATTTGACATGGTCTCAAGTGCGCTGAAGAAGGTCACATTGTAGTTAAGCACATCTGGCCACCCAGCCCTGGAGATTTACACTCTCCGCCCCAACGTCACCTCGATCCATGCTATGGGGCCTGTCAGTCGGCCGGCTGCGCTCAATATTTGGTACGGGGCTGCAGAGATGTTAACGTGTAGCAAAGCAGTGTGGCGCTGGTCAGCTCTCTCAAACTTAGCACGCCCGCTCAGTTAACTATGCATCCTATTATTCTATTACCCCTTCAAACCTAGCCTGCAGCTACCTTCTTGCTGAGGACGCCGGCCTTGCCTTGAATGATTTTTTTTTGCGAAGCACCTTTCTCCGTCGCAGCATAGTTGTCCGTCTGCGCTGTTTGTACCACCGGACGATGCGCCAGAGTTCCCTCTTGAAGTCTTTCGCGCTGCGGACATTGTAGTTGCCCTCTGCGTCATGTAGCTTCACGCAGAATCGGACGCAAGCCGCGCCAAGGTTTGTCTATCCGGCACAGTCTGTGCGCCAGCAGCATATGGCTGCTTCAAGAAACTCTGTCTCTGGCTGTTTGAAGCGCAAGACTTGTCCAGATCAAAATGTCTGTTGCGCACTGCTTCAATCAAGAAAGGCGAAAGGGCCTGAAAGGGGCTTGCGACATCTGTCTCACCATGTCCGTCACTACTGTGGGCGCACGCAACATGCCGAGAACGATACCAGCAAGAGCAACACTGGGCAAGTCCTGCTGCTTCGCGGCGCTGTCTCCTCAGCAGGCTTTTGAGCCATGATACAAGAAAGGCAGCTAAATTTGAGAACCTAGTACGCACATCAGCAAAGCTTGGACAAACTGGCCAGGTCCTCCAAATCTGGCTTCATGTGGGTCCAGGACTCAATGGCAGCAACTTGCAACGTTAGGCAGTGGGCACCTCCCCGTTCCGACCGCTGTTGTGGGCAGAAATAGATGGTGTCGTTTGCCCGGCCGCCAACCCTGCGCACACGTTAGGCCCCTCCGCTGCGACACCAGCCCGCAGGCCTTTCCCTGGACTGGAGCCCTGCGTGGACATCCCGTCTCAGTGAATTAGATGGTGGGAAGGCGTGGACACAGATTGCCGGGAGTCTTGGGAATGGGAAGGCGTGGACACAGATTGCCGGGGGCACGTGCCACGCAACTGTTTTATGGGCTCCCGAAGGCAACGTGCCAGCAGGCGACGTTAGGCATTTTGGCTGGCTGCGGCTCTTTGGTGTGGAAATAGATGGTGTCGTTTGCCCGGCCGGAAACCCTGCGCAGACGGTAGGCACTGGCCAGACTGGCCACACCACCTTGGCCTGCGCCTTTTTTCTTTAGGATTTTGAAAGCAACGTTAGGCATGCTCACCCCCCGTTCCAACTGCTGTTGTGGGCAGGAATAGATGGTGTCGTTTGCCCGGCCGGAAACCCTGCGCAAACGTTAGGCACTGGCCACGCCAGCCTGGCCTTGGCCTGCGCCTCTTTTCTTTAGGGTTTCGAAAGCAACGTTAGGCAGTGGGCACCCTCCCCGTTCCGACCGCTGTTGTGGGCAGAAATATAGACGGCGTCGTTTGCCCGGCTGTGCGCCCGGGCCTAGCCGCTGTTGACGCCATGTTTGACGCGAAACTGATTGCCACCGTTCGATTGTCCACGTATCCAGTTTCGACCTTGCTTGACACAACAGAATCTTTCCAATCAATATATACGCTTACCTGGAGAAGCCAACCCTGCTGCCTCTGTTTTTATTCATGACAGGTATGGGGCATGGCGTGTATCAACAAACTGCCAGAGGTATATAGAGTTTTGGCGTCGCTGGAACTCCAGAGCTGTGGAGTCGCATACGCAAGAATTTCTCACGAAAGCCACTTCAGAACAAGCCCTCTCTACCCCACCAGAGGGGGCTGGCGCGGGTTGGCGAAACACCGCATGGAGTGGGACATCCTCCAACTCTCATATTTTATTTCCACGTGTCTTCAACTGTACCTTCTTTAAGAGAGACCTTTTCTGACAATCGGAACCACCTTTTGATGACCCTGAAAGGTAAGTTAAGGTAGGCTGATCCAGTGACAAATTCTCTCAATATTCTTCCATATTCAACAACTGACCACGCAAGGTGAATCACCGTGCGCGTGAATGGCCCTTCCCCGTGCCTCCTTGCGCGCTCGCGGCTCAGGTGGCTGGAGGAGGCTTGCTCTACGCGGCTTCTGTCTTACATATGTTTTCGTTGCGCGACCCTGCTAAAGCTTTTGGATGCTTTTGGCATGTTATGGCAACTCCCTCAGTGTCATTTCCTTGATACTCCATTGCCTTCATCCACTACTCTGTCTGAAATAATGACATGCATGTCTATATACATATATATATAGCTCTACCCTTTCTTCAAGCTCTAAGGAGGCATGTGACGCAGTCACGAACCGTTCCCGATGATGTTTCTCTGGAATTCCAGCTCAGGCTGGAATCAGATCTTAATTTCGTCTTGATGGTGTTTTACCTTGTGAACTCTTGGTCGTGGAAGAGCATCTCCCTCATCTCATTGCTGGACCTTATAAGCCTCTGCAGTTCGGCAAAACTTCGCCCCGCAACAGGCTCTCACCGGCGATCTGTGGGTCGAAGCGACTCCAGTAGAAAGCATTGGCCATCTTCAGGACGGATGCATCACGATGCGTCATATCAATCATACTTATATATATATATACACTCATCGCAAAAAGGATTGCACAACAACGATGCCCCCAAAATGGGTAGATGGAACGGAGAATGTGGAAAACAGAATGCGAGCATCCAAAGAAAAATTGGCATTTGATGGCTTGGGAAAAGCTCATATCAAGGCAAATTCGAGAGGTAGATGGCGCAACTAGTTTTGGAAAATAGCGTGGATAGCCAAGCGCATATCAAAGCAAATGGGAGAGGTAGATTGCGCAATGACTACAGTTTTGAGTACACCGTGTTCCAACTAAGTACTCACGGTGTAGATGGAACGCCTTTCAGCGCGCTTTGCCCCATCTATGCTGAGTTTTGTGTGATCCATCACCATCAAGATTTGCTATTTTGCAATTTGGGTTGTGCCATCTACTGAGGCCTTTTTGGCTTGATACTCATTCACTCAGCAAGACCTACCTGTGGCCATTACCTGGGCTTTGTCTGGCGCCGACCAGGCGTTTGAGGCGACGTTAGGCATTCTCGCTCGTCTTGGCCCCAAACTCTCTGCGGCAGGCCTTCACTGGCTCTTTTCATTGGGTTTCGAAACTGCCCTTAGGCACCCTGTCAGGACAATATTTTAGTTCGTTTTTTGTGTGATTAGATGGTGGAAAGCTGTGGCGCAGCAGACTGCTGGGGACCCTTGGGAAGGTGTCTTTGGGGTCAGGTGTCCTCCACGCATTCTTGCTCGTGCTCGGCCCCAAACCCTCTGCGGCTGGCCTTCGCTAGCTTTTTTCATTGGGTTTCCAACCTGCCCTTAGGCACCCTCTCACGACAATATTTTGGTGGCTTTTCGCGTGACATTAGCTGTGGAAGGCTGTGGCGAGGCAGATTGCCGGGAGCCTTGGGAGGGATCGTGCTCGGTCACAAACCCGCTGCGGCGCAGGCCTTCACTAGCTCTTTCATTCGGCTTCGACACTGCCCTTAGGCACCCTGTCAGGACAATATGTTGGTCGTTTTTTGGTGTGGGTGGAACACGGCACCTATACCGGGGCGTTCCAGGCGACATCAGGCGTTCTCCCTCGTCGCGGCTCGCTTCTACGTTATATATATATATATACACATGTACGTGTATGTGTATATATATATATGTATACGTAATACGTATACCGTATATCAAACTAGTTCAGCATGAAGGAAAAGCCAATAAAATTGAGAATGCACTGAAACCAACATTTAACTTTACTTCGTGTAGCATTTGCTCAAGTCGGGTACTCGCGCTGTGAACATGCAAGATTGCTTCTTGCAGGTCACCCGCGGACTGAGCAAAACGACAAAAGGATACAAAAGGCTTTAAACATTGTGCCTTTGCTTTGCAAGCGTGCGCAGCGTGCAGCATGGTGGACTTGGTTGCATCCTCGTACTTTCTGCTGCCTGGCGCTCCAGAATTTGTAACAAATATCATGTTCCCTACCAGTTGCACCAACTGCTCCAACTCCCAGCAAAGCATGCTGCAACAACCTGCTTCGCCCCTGCCACTGTCGCCTTTGAACGGTCCACAACAGCGCTTCTTCCAGTCAAGTTCGCTGAGGGCCAGCATAGGCCAGCTGCATTTACTGTATGTAATTATGCATTGGAGAAATTGCAGTGGCTCATTGCGTTTGCAAAATCCTTCAAAATTCTTCAAACGGGTCGAATGGTCTGCCATGCAGTTGACTTTCGCATTACACATCGACGACGGGGTGTGGTGGTGTTTGGCATTGTTCTCAATGTCCAAGCCACACATGGCACACACACTTCTCCCATGTCAAATGCAACGCACACAAGAGACCGCATACCGCAAGGTATTGGCATGGAAGATGGCCCTCCCCTGGAATGTGCTTCAGATGTTGATGTGATTGACACGCCTGAGCTTGTATTGCGACCGTTTCATGGGCAAGGCTTCAGCGAAAGGCCCATTGAATCCCATGTGACGAGAAGATTCGCACCCGATTGTATCACACCAATTCCCATTTCCAATTGTGTGCTGATACCCAGTAACTAGAATGGCTACTGCAGGTGGCAACAATTCCAAGGCTATATACCCCGCTGACCGATCTAAGAAACTGCATGGCTCACATGAACACCCGTCGCATTCATGATCGTGGTCCATGGACGTGTGAGCGCAATGGCTCTATGGGTCCGCTTTGATGCGCATGTTACAGATCGCGCACAAGCCGCCTTTGACAGCCAGCGCCGTAACTTGTAGCAAAATTGGACACTGATTCAGGGTAATGGAGTACTTGCAGAAGTCAAGGACTGTGCACGCTGCTCTTTGCGGGCCCAACCCAATTATCCCCGCATAACCTTTGCCGTACAGTGGCATTGCCTGGACCTACATGAGCTTTGCCACGCAATGACAAAAGTGAACAACCCAGACTCTTGGAGACTTCGAGACTATCTCCAATCTCAAATATGTCAAAAATAATCAGAAGCAGGAGTGAGAAAGAGCTCTTGTGTATCTCAGTCAAGCAGATGTGTTAAGAATGAGCCTCATGGCACCGGGTCAAATTTTGCGAAACATAGAGATACTTGTAATATAGACAAATATACATGGGCAATTGTGTATCACATGTGTATCTCAACCAAATGCAAATGAGATCATTTGCGCTGGGACTGCGAGGACTCAACTTCAGTACCAGTAGGCGCAGTTCGGTTCACTTGAAACACTTTGATTCTGATCTTCTTCAAGTCCCCATAAGGGCAGGAGAGTGCTACTAAGCGTTCGGCTTCATCGACTTCCTCTGACAAGCGGGAGGCTAATTGCACTGCCCGCATTTCGGCCTTTGAAAAGCAAGGTCTGTGGGGCCTACGCCAGACATATCGGCTTGCCTGACTTTTCTGCTTGAATAAGAAATACGCGCCCTAGCCAAAAAAGAAAGTCAAGCGCCTCTTCAATCTGCCTCCGGGTTGGGGATTGCGCAGCCTGTATCCAAAGCTGTCAGTTGGAAGTGCACCGGGCACCGGTTTAGGATAATCTGAGGCATCCGCATCTTTCTTCTTGGCCTTGGTGAAGACCGCGGGCCAAATTGGCACAGTTCTGACCATTCTTACGGGACAGAGGCATTGACCATGCCCAATCTGGGTCCTCCTCAATACGCCACCAGGGCAAAAGTGTTTCTTCTTGAAGGTTCCAAATTGACTCATGCAAAACACTTATGTCACCTCATACGGTCGAATTTCCTCCCTCCAAAGCTTCACCGTCCCACACTGGCCACGTGAAATAGATTTCTTAAGTCGACCGCGACTGTTAAGGATAAAACATTTCTTCCTCCTGAAGTATTCGCTTGAGTAGACTAGGCCCGGACTTTGCTCACCTGCCAACCGAACTGTCAACATACATGATTCCAAGTCAAGAAAACAAGACGAGATTCGAGCCGGTTCCAGCAAAACTCATCTCTGACCACCGTTCGCCTGTCCATATTCCGGCTCTTCCTGAGCCGACACCAAACTTGAACTGTTTCTTCCAGTCGCGCCACTTGTCAGTGGAAATTTTTTGTTTACATGAGTTGCTTGAACTTGTTTGCGCTCTTGAGGAATGCTACGAAGGACAAAACCTAAGACATACAGTATGACCAGTCGTAGTACAGAATCACATATGTGCACATTGCTCAATCGTAATCAATTTAGTTAGTTAGTTAGTCAGTCAGTCAGTTAGTTTGCTAGCTAGTTAGTTACTTAGTTAGTTAATTAGCTAGCTAGTTAGTTAGCTATGTATGCAGTTAGTTAGTTACTTACTTACTTACTTAGTTACTTACTTAGTTGCTTAGTTAGTGAGTGAGTTAGTTAGGTAGTTAGTTAGTTAGTTACTTACTAATGAGTGAGTTAGTTACAATAGTTGGCTGTACTGTATGTGTATATAGTACATATGTAATATTTATAGTAAAAATACAAACATACATACTATAATATCTATATCTATATATACATATATAATATTACAAAAAACATTAAAGGACCGGATAACCCCACATATGAATCTTTACGAATCTTAAGTTTCTAAAGCGCAACGCAGTCAGAGTCTCAATAGCTTCTACAACATGGCCTTGTCAGGAAGTGATATCAGATTCACACAACAGAGGGGTGGGAGAGAAGGTGTAAGAGAGTGATGTGCACGACGGATGTACGAGGTATTGTGCACACAGGTGTGCGCAGCCACAACTAGCCAACAACGCCAGCGGTTGTCGCACGTCCGCGCTATGGGGCATAATGTACTAAAGTTGTACTACCAAGTCGCCAGTTCTCATCTTCCAGCTCCCCAGCTACTCCGAGCACTACAGTTGTACTACAAAGTCGCCAGTGCTCATCTTCCAGCTCCACAGATACTCCGCGTACTCGAGTTGCACTAGAAACTCGCCAGTTCTCATCTTCCCACTCCCCAGCTACTCCGCGTACTAAAGTTGTACTACCGAGCTTTCCAAATGGGATCGTACAATGAGCGTCCCCTCTAGTTAAGATAGTTATAACTTAAGATATTTCATTTACCGAAGTTATAAACTAGTTACACTTAAGTTAGTGAACCCCTTTCATAACTATGTTCTAACTTAGTTATATTTTAGTTACACAAGTTGTTAACTTCAGTAACTT